ACTCGTGCTTTGTGGCAGCTGGTAAACCATGGAGATGGCTGTCTTATTCTAAGGATGGGAGACGTTTGAAAGAGTTTGAGTCCTTCAAAACATCATTATGACAGCTGCCTCTCATTTTCTTGCATGAGGAAAGTAATTTTTTTCTATTTTAGGTTTTTATTTTAGACGTTTGTTTTTTGTTACTTGCAGCCTAGTGCATGCTGACTAATAGTGACTAAAAGTCGCCAAGAAAACTTCTTACTGTTAATCTCACATCATTCAACTCAATTCTCTTAGTGATTAAAAAAAGAAAGAAAAAGAAAAAATGAAAAACTGGAAAAGAATACTACTAGATAAATAAGCACTGACAATAAAGGACAGCTGAGAGCTTTGAAAACAAAATTGAAGGCTGAAAACTACAAAAATGCATGCAATAAAAATTTTAAGAGCAAGCTGGATCCATTTAGAAACCCAACACATGTCAATAGTTACTTTAGGCATCAGTATCCACATCACAGTTCACTGTGATAATGGGCTGTCCCCCCAAATACTCAATGAACATTTTGTTTAGAGTGGATCCAAAATAATTGTGAGACAATAATCTCCCACTTGCATTGAGAATGGTATTGAATTGAGAAGAAAATAAAGGAACAGAATAATTACAAAAGTAAATGATTCAAACATGTGCTGTGAATTGTCACATTAATCAATACTTTTGGAAAGGAGAACCTGGCTCAATCCAAGTGTCAGCAAGTTTGGGGTCCACCCAGGAATGCTTCCTCAGAACACAAGTTTGAACTAATTTGGACAAAGCTGATTGGTTGGAGACTGGAAAAGAGGAGGGCAGAAAGAGGGAGAGAAACAACATTCCAGGGAAGGTCATGGGATATGCAAAAGTCCCCAGTGTCAGTGAGAAATACTGAAGCTGCAGATCTGTAATATCTGGAGGGCTACTTTTATGTGCATCTTTGTCTTAACTCACCCAGAAAAGATGAAATTATATTCAATATGTGCTACTTAACAAGAACATTGTGACTTCAGTGGGAGAGCCCATGCTTAGCATGTATGAATTCCAGGTTCAATTCTCTCAAATAAGAACAGAATGATATATGTAATTCAGAGTTAAATTTTTCCACTTGAAAAAATTAAATGCTGTAAATACTAATGTAATTTTTGCCAAAAGTCATTTTGCACAAAAATTTTAAAGCGTCTCCCAATTACCAGACACAACACTAAGTTCTAGGATACAAAAATGAATCAGTTACATTCTGTACAATGAGGAAGCTAGAAAAAAAAGAGGTAAAAGAAGTAAACAATTACAGCTATGTATATCAACATGTTGATATAGAAAAGAGAGATGTGTATGTGGCTGGTCTATGGGGACACTAAGAATGGGAAAAATAATTCAGTAACGAATCATCTTGAAAATTAATTTATATCTGGTATATCATTACCAAATGATATCCAAGAAGCTAACTGTGACTGAATATAAACATGAAACAAGCCAGAAAATCTAATTCTGAGAAATTTCTATAGTAATAGAATTGCCTAATGAACTCCAAAAAACACAAGCCTAGCTCTAAAACAATTCTGAGAATTGGACCACCTTCTTCAGCAGGGAAAGTCACTCAAACAGCTAGATTTGAGAGTATATGAATGTGAGAGTTTAAAAGAAGTTGTGGTATAGATAGAAAGGCAGAAAAATCCAGTAAAGGTTTAATCTGACCTTTCATTGAAATACAAGTAGGAGATATACTTTTCTACTAGGACTTTGCACGGATAATAGTTTACAAGATTTTCAATAAAAAAGAAAGAAGAGGCCTGGATAATTGCATTTTTCTGATAATAATCAGATGTGTAAAGACAGCAACCAGGATTTCTCAAAGTCTCAGTTCCTAATGTCATCAGTAGAGTGATGTGGAATGATTTTAAAGGAGTCCTTCCACCCATAGATGACTGAATTCAGCACGGGCCAATTGTCACTATAAAAATTTAGTTGAACACACATTTTAGCAGCAATTTCCCAAACCATAATATATCAAAGTTTATTATGTTTTTCAATTTACTGAAAGTAACTTGGTAAACATATAATGTCTGAAAACCGTGAATCTGAAAAGAGCTAAATAGTAGTCGTGGGTGTCTAGTGACCACCATGTAGTTTCACTAACTAGGAAACACACAGAAAAGAAAGAAGACTTGGTGAATGTTAGGCCATTCTCTTAGATACAGGAAACAAAGAAAATTCTCAGATACTTTTCTATATTATTATGAGAAAAAATGAAACTCATGTACTATTTTGGTTGTAGGACCTATCTTTGAATATCTTAGTCATTTTTATTCAAAGTGCTTGATAAAGTTCCTTTATGTGAATAAGGAGTTACAATATGTGTGCCAAAAAGAATTTGATAAATTAAAAAAAAATTGGAACTGGTTTTATCACCAGATCCAAAAACTGACACACTAATTATATATGCAGTGCTACATAATCTTCTAAGTGTAATTGCAGTATAATTTCTCTGACATGCATTTACCATCCCTCTCTATCATAATTATTATGCAGAGATTGTTACCTTGATTTACTAGTTCTTCACTATCTCCTTAATTTGAAGGTTTTTCAAATATGTAGATTTCTTTTCAAATATATGTGGTCTATGCTTCCGCTCTCATTGAAAGACCTCAACAAATACAAAACAACAATATCAATGTAACTACCTGCTGTTCTGGAAATCCCAGTCGGTCCCTTCCTTTGAAGATGCATCTTTGAAAATTCCTTAAATCTAAATGATTAATTTTTCTACTGCTTGTGGTACATATCTTCTTCTACCAGTGGGTGTCCACACTCTGCCAAACACAATAACTACCGACAAATATGAGATGTCTTGTGCAGTTTTCAGTGGAAGGAACATCCCCATCACATGGGTTTTCAAGACCAAGGGTAGCAGTCTTTGGACCTGAATGGACACGCCCAGCTACAGAAGATCTTATCTTTTTTCCTGTCTATAACAAGGTCCCATTAATGTGATGAGGACACATGCTACAATCTGCCACAAACATAAAACAAAATTATAATGCACAAAAGATAGATTAATATAGTATAGATTTGTTATGTTCTGTGATGGTTGATGTTATGTGTCAGCTGAATGAGACTATGGCACCCAGTGAGTGAGCAAATAAAATCTTAAATGTTTGCCAGGTGCCAGTGGCTGACTTTCAAAATCTTAGCTACTCAGGAGGCTAAGCTCTGAGGGTTGAACCTCGAAGCCAACCCAAGGAGATAAATCCATGAGACTCTTATCTCAGATTAGTCAGCAAAATTCAGGAGCTGGAAATATGGTTCAAGGGATAGAGAATCAGCTATGAATGAAAAGGCAAAAGGACTTTCAAAACCAAGACACTTTGAGTTCAAGTTCCAGTTCTGAAACAAAAGTGAAAAAGACTAGAGGTTTTATGAAGATATTTTTAGGTGTGATTAGAATTTATCATCAGTTAACTTTTAGCTGGATACCAGTAGCTCATGCCTGTAATCCTAGCTACTCAGGAGACTGAGCCAGTCCAAGCAGAAAAACTACCAAAAAATCTGGAAGTGGATCTGTAGATCTGAGCCTAGAAGCTTAGGGAGAGTGTTCAAACCCCAGGATAGGAAAAAATATCAGTTGACTTTGAGAAAGCAGATTATTCTCTATAATGTGTCTCCTCAAATCAGTTGTAGGCCTTTAAGACCAAAGACAAGTTTCCTGGGGAAAAAAGAATTCAATCACTAGGCTACAACATAAAACTTCTAAGGAACTACTAGCCTTCAGATTCAAGATTGCAAAATCACCTCTTCTCTGAATCTCAAGCTTGCCAGCTTGTTCAACAGACTTCAGACTTGCCAGGCACAACAATCACTAGTCCAAATCTTTAAAACTTTAAAATCAACCTCTTGATAGTTAGATAGATAGATAAATAGAAAGCTAATCTCTCTCACATATACTTACTTTGTATATATATACATATATATATATAAGTATAAGTATATGCATATATAAGTATTTATACATATATATAGATATATATCCATACATATATATGGATATAAGGGCTCCATACACATAGATTCAGCAAGATGGGATGAAAATATTCAAAAAAACTGCCTGTTCTGAGCATGTACAGCACATTCCATAAACAACATAGCAAGCAACTACTTAAAATAGCATTTGCATTGTATTTGGTACTAAAACTCATCTAGGATTGATTTAAATACATAAAACAATGTGTAAGTTCTATGTAATACTATGCTAATTTACATGAGTGTCTTCAGTATCTGAGAAGTTTGGTATCCATTGGGGGATCCTGGAGCCCATTGACTAGGAAACAACTATATAGATACATATATGTATATATGTATATACAGCATATATTTAAGCTATTGGTTCTCTTTCTTTGGAGAATTTGGACTAACATAAGTTGATTCAGAGCATTAAATATATTTGGTATTATTTTTGAAATAGCTTTTGCAATGACAATGTATACAAACCCTCTGTTTTAGTTATAAAAAACTTATTTTATCTGATTTCTAGTTAATACTCTCTAGTTACCTTTTCTATGTAGAGTATCACACTCAATAGCGTTTAGCCCTTGTGAGTGAATATGATAGCATGATCATGTTCTCATGTAACAACTGCAAAGAAATATTTTACAGTAAGATGTATTTTATTTATGACTAATTTTAGGTCAGTTAAAACCTGAAGAAGCAATTCTTCCCAATAGACATTGCCAGATTCATATCCACAAACACGTTTTGAAAAGATTATTTTTATGAGTAAAAAAGTGAATCATAAAAACTCTACTTCTCTTAGGCCAAATGGCTCTATTAAATTTATAAATGGTATGTGAAATGTGACATATTTTACTTTTCAAATACAAATAGCAGTTACAATATTGGAATTACAAGTGTTAAATTATTTTTCATGACCACTATGGCAAACATCTTGAAGAAAATAAGTTCCTTTCAGAGGTACGAGGAAAACAGGAGTACTTACTAACTGCAGAGTCATAGGAGGTTGAATTATGCTCGCCCCTCATGAAGGGGTAAGGAGACAGGTAGGCATGTGTACAGTTCTTAGATGGTGGCTGATTAGCTAGAAAGAACAGCAAAGCAATGGTGTTTATTACTGAGAAGCTCAACCAACAATGACTCATTCCTAATGGAACAAAATACAAGAGTCAAGGGGTACACAAGCAAAAGAAATGGTCAATTCCAACAACAAATTCAGAGACTTGTAGTATGAGAGACAAAAATTCTTACTAAACAGTGCAGAGGACTTTGAAGGTGAATATCTCTTGAACATCTAGCTAAATGATCCAATTGAATGGAATAAATGCAAATAACATAGTACAGAATTCAAATTAGAGTCACGATGTTTCATTTATATAAATGTAGGTATTTCTAATGCCTATGTCTTTTGGCATGATTTCTCTCTTGCAGAGTCTGATTCCTTTTCACCTGTTTACATTCCCATTGAATTTCCATTAACATTTTACTTATTCTCCTACCCAAAATGTACTATAAGATGGTCTACCAGATATTTCTTTTGAAATGTTACTTCATTTCTACTTTGTCCATTTCTTTTCCTTTCCTAACAGTACTGGGATCGGAACACAGGGACTTAACCTACTACATTGGTGTTCTACCCCTTGAACTTGTTCCAGCCCTCACTACTTTTTCCTTTCCTATATAATAACTTGCCATCTGCTTTCTGAAGCCTTTTGTTGGCCTTACATTCTTCCTACATATTTCATAATTTTGACTATTGTGTAAATACATACTTTGATTTTTTTCCACACAAGTGTTTGATAGAAGACTAATAATTTCAACCTATAATAAACTTAAGCCAATAAACAAGTCTTTCATTATGGAGACAATGAAATGCATTGATTTTTCAAAGATTAATACAGTATAAGAAATACAGTTGAAACAATGAATCATAGTCTTATAAAGTTATTCGACTTCAAAAGGGAATTTTAAAGATTCTATACAAAACACAAACATCAAAAGCAAGGCATTTCTTGATATTGCTTACAAACTTAAGTAAGCTCAAATATAAAGGCTTTCATCTGCTGCCGCTGGTAATTAAGTTTCATTACAAACACAAAGAAGATTTTTTTTTAAACTTTAAGGCTATGAATATAAAATAATACCTCTATTTCTGGATTTTTTTAACATTTGAGATTTCAAGTGTCTATAGACAAAAAGGAATGCTTATAACAGACATTTGAAGAGAAAATTCTATAGATATCTGTTCTGTTATTTCAAAGTAGGGTATTTTAAATTTTATAAACACATCACATACATTCATATATATATAAATATATATAGAGAGAGATATATTACTGTTGTTTTGCCACTAACAGTCAGAGTTTCCTCTTGTGGCTGAAGGTAACTTTGTAATTTCTACAGACATTTCTTCTGGGAAGGAAACTCTGCCTTTGAAGACATAGTGTTTAGATATTATAGTTAAGAAACTAGTCCTCTTGTAAGTAATGTATACTAAGTAAGAAGCTGTTTGTTTTTGTTTCAGAGACAAGGGACAAAAGAAAGCTAAGTTGTACTTACTGTACCAGAACTTCCAGACATTAGAGTCATTCTCTTCCACAATTCCATTAAACCAACACCTCCAGAAGAATCCTTCATGGTGGAAAGTGACATTCTCTATCTGCACAGAAGACAAATGAGGGAACTTACTGTCAACCCAAGGAATAAAATGGAAATTACTGCATCCAGGAATTTTTTAAAGAAATGTCTTCTATCCCCAATACTGATTTCTTTATAGAAGAAATAGAGATTTCTCTCCCCCCCCCCCATTGCTATTCTCTGACTTCAAGAGGAGGCATACCCCTAACCGGTATCCCAGTATTTAGAAGAAGAAACGCACATTCTGTTCACCTGAACACTTCCCCACTTCAGTTGCAAGAAGCCAATAATCTGATCCAAAAGCCACCAAAAACAGTAAAACCCCCAAAGCACCAAAAATGGCCCCAAAGAAGATGGTGACATTGAGTTTCATTTTCAATCCAGTTGTTTGTTGTTAAAATTTAAAAAAATTAGATGGTCATTAACCTCTCAGCAAAAACTGTGTAAAAGAGTAAGATTTTTGAGTAGGCAAAATCTAGGAGAAGCTGTCCCAACTCATGTTTTGGTGGCTTCTCACACCCGCTGGTGGACTTGTGTTTCCTTTGCTGTCCCCTGGAGGGGCTCCAGCCCCACAGCTGAGAATGGCTGGCTATTTTAAGAAATGGATTGAGGCACTGTCTTTCTCCCAAGGGGATCAAAAAATAGCTGACCTTCCCCTGACGATAAAGAGGCATATCAGGAGTTGGCACTGGTGTTCTTGATTGCTATTGGATGGAAAGAAGAGAGAAGAGTCATGAAGACATTGACAGCATTGACTCCAAACCTTAAGTGTCCGCACAAGCTGCTCTTAGTCAGGAATGACTACAACAACCTCATGGACACTCGAGACACTCTTTGAAGTTATATAAATCACAGCTATAAAGAACCATAGAGACTTCTCTAGCAAATAATTCAAGTAGTAATTAACCTCTTAATTTCTCCTGGACATTTTTTTGAGTTGAAAATAATATTTTGGGTCCAGATTTATAACTTAACTATTCAAACATATGTTTGGAATATCAAGAATATCAATAGTGATATCATTCTCAAAAGTATTAAAGCATTTTATATATTGTACAACAGCTCGAAGACCTTACACAAGGCATTTTCAATAACCACCCTAAAAGTGAATGAATTGAAAAAAGGCTAAAGAATATATTGTTTTCTGGATTAAATGAAAAAGCCCAGTCTACCCCTTGCTTTTAAATTAGCTTTAAATATGTAACATTCTCAAAATGTGAGTCATAATACTCATACAGATCACCTAATAGAAATGAATCCACATTTTATTTAAGCTTGTCTCTTTGCAGTCTGTTTGTTTAGTTTTTATGTGCCAATATGCCAGAGATTAATTTTTTACTAACTATTTGTGTACTATTTAAAACCTGGTACTGAGCATGGTTTTATAGTTTGTTAACAGTAACTTGAACTACTTAATCTTCTAATGAGGTGACTGAACTCTTCTAGTTTCCTTTGCTCTTCTTTTTGTTGAGTGGAATGGTATGAATCCTGAGGATGGCTTTTCTAAAGGTAAAATGATCCCTGGTAAGGATAGAAGGCACTGGCTGGTTCTCCTGATAAACAACGGGAGATGTTCAAAGGCCGTGAATCAGCCACTAAGAGAGTTAAGTAGAATTGTAAACTCACCTAAGCTATCCCTCACGTAATGCTTAAACCGTCTTAAAAAAATAAAATGAAACTACCTACAACATCCCGCTGTAGCATTTCTACTTTGTACCACTGGAAAACATCAATAGTAGCCTTGGAACTCTCTTACTTTCTGCCAAAAGCTACATCTTAAGAGGTTGCAGATGTTAATACTAATCTATTGTCTGAGACTACACAACACAGGTTTAAACTCTTTGTCATCAAGAAAGCTTTCTGATCTTCTCTAACTGTCCCCCATCCCTATCAAACCCTAACGATGGTCCTCTTTTTTCTAGCCCAAGCATTCTGTTCCTTTAAGGATCCATTAGATCCATACGGTTTCAAATCTATCTATTCAGATTCATTCCTACAAGTTCCAAGCACTCACCTAAAATGAGGCATCATCAAGTATTCTGGATAGACCTGTTTTAAATGGGACTGACTGCCACTGTTTCCAGTAGCTATCAGAGGCCCAAATGGAAGGACATGGGCCAGGGATCTACCCACAGGAAGCATGGTCAGCTGCCTCATGGCCAAGAGTCAGGTTGCAGGCATGGCTTCTATGACACAACAACAATGTGAACATGGAAGAGTTATTTCAGTACATCCAGACTCTAGGGCTTACAAGATGTGCCTGAAGGTCATGCATATAGATGTCACAGAGCCCAGAAAAATTGTGACACAGTTGTGGGCCAAGTTTTTGTTGGGATCAAGGCATAATCTGAGCAGATTTTCTTCGGAGAGCTTTAATTGGAGTGTGCCAAAGCAGGAAACATGAGTTCTGAAGGGTCACACTGCATGTAGGATATGACATCCATGGGGCTTCTGTCCAATTGGTGCTTTTTCTTAAATTTAAATTTTATTGTAAAGGTGATACACAGAGGGGCTACAGTTACATAATAATGAACAATTCCCTCATTTTCTCCCGCGTCCTCCTCCCTTCCCTCCCAAGTTGTAAAGTTCATTTCCAACATAGTGTTTGATGTGTATCACTGTTGCATTGGTTCACCCTTTGTTCCACAGTCCCACAGTTTCTGTGATTCCCTTTCCCTTCCTCGAATCAGATCACAAAAAAAGGGCACCAAAAAAAAAGTGACAACAGGGAATAAACAAAGAGGGGAAAAAAAAGAACTTCAAACTATACAATAAAGAAAAACTCTTGTTTCCATTTCTTGGAGTTAGTTTTGATAAGCATTATGATGCTTTTAAAGGGAGTGGCAGGAAAGAGTGGAGGCCAGGATGTTAGGCAGGTTAGGTGCCTCTGTGGGTGATCTGTGGCCACCAGATAGAGCCAGTTGGATATGGTGTAACAGGGGAAAGTTTGGTCAAGAGCAGCTTAGAGCTGTTCCAGTGGTGAGAAAATTAAGCTTACCTTTGAAAATGATTATCCAGGCAACATAAAATTATGAGCATCCACCTCAACAGCTCACAGTGTAACACCTTCATCATGTTATTCCAAGGATTATCACACCCTGCCATAACCCTAAACCTGATCTGTGAGTATGTTATCCTGTTGTGACAATATTCAAGATTATACCAGTGACCTAAATCTTGCTACATCAGTCCTTCCAAAGATAATCACAGAGAGAAATGAGAGCCCAGGAAAAGGGTCCAATAGGTGTGAATTTAATGATGGACAAAGTAAGTCCAAAACAAAAGAAAATGGACAACTCTAAGAAATTGGAAGGGATTGAAAACAGATTCTTACCTAGGGCCTCCAGGAAGAAATGCAGCCTTTCGATAATTAGCTTTGAGCCTGGTGAGTGAGATGCTTATGGAATTTCTGCACCTTAGAGCAGTGAGACCATTAATCTGGGTTGTGGTAGGCCACAATAAACAATTACTTATGCATGACATTTCAGTGTGTTTCCTAAATAGTCTCTTAATGTTGCTTAAGACTTGCAGTCTCTTTTCTCTGTGGCCCTGAGTCTGAAGGCGTAGGCAATGGGGCTAAGTAAGGATAGGCATCCAGGAATGAGTATGTGGAAAAGCACAGAACTGTGTACATGAGCTGCTTCTTTCTGTGAATACTCTACTTAAAAGGAAGGGGAGTGGGAGATGGCTTTCCTAGATGAGAAGTGAGAGGCTTTTCACAGATGAGGGACCTTGGAGAAAAGTCTCCTCAGCTCTCTTTGTCTCATGTTATTAACATGGAAATAGTAATGATATTTTGAGGGATAACTTGGGATTTATAAAATGAAATTGCCAAATGAATGAGCTCTTGCTGCCATTAGACTTGTCTTCTATCCTGCTATTTAGATAGAGGCCAACAAATTAAAAATAAAGAACAGAATAGAAGAAAGAGGAGATGAGAAGGAAGGAAAGAGAAAAGTGAAGCCTATTTGCTAGTATTGTGGCTGTGACAGTGATATATATTTAATTATATTAGTCTCAGATATTAGATATATTTAATACATATTAGTCTGATGTATGTATGTATATCAGAATAATTTCTTATTAATTGGTTGCAGGCCTTTCATATCCATCCATCCATCCATCCATCCATCCAATCATCCATCCATCCATCCATATATATCATCCTGATCATGTACCACCAGCAGCTCTCCCAAATCTCTATCTGTTCTTGCTACATCTAACTAGAAGGCCCTTCCCTTCTATCTATGCATTAAGACATTCAGTATATGTTTAACCATTCTGCTGTGGGCCACAAGTTCTTTGAGGTGCTTACAGTTGCACTCTGCAAGATCCTTACCCAAACAAATTCATACTTTCATATTGGTTTAATTAGACCTGCCATCTTCTACTCCGTTTTTAGAGTGCATATGTTTTGGAATAGAGTTAGGCAATAGTTGTCCAATGAACAAACTAATTTTTAAAAAAGAATGAACAAATGTAAAACAACTCTCTGTATAGAATTTGTTCCATGAATATCTTTTTTTTTTTTTTGGTCAGTTGTGGGGTTTGAACTCTGAGCCTAGGCACTGTCCCTTAGCTGTTCAGCTCAAGGCTAGCACTCTACCACTTGAGCCAGAGTGCCAATTCTGGTTTTCTGGTGGTTTGTTGGAAATGAGAGTCTCACCGACTTTCCCTCCCCAGGCTGGCTTTAAACCGTGATCCTCAGATCTCAGGCTCCTGAGTAGCTAGGATTACAGGCGTGAGCCACTGGCGCCAGGCTGTTCCATGAATCTTAAATATGTTCCTGAGGATGTTATCCCTGCTTCTACAGCATCTCCTTGTGAAGGCCAGAAGGGAAATTTCTCCTTTCTTCTTTCTCTTTGTTTCTTTATTCCTTCCTTCCTTCCTCTCTTTCTTTCTCTTTCTTCCTTCCTCTTTCTTTTTCTTTCTTCCCCCTTTCTTTTCTTTCTTTTTTTCTGGCCATATTGAGTTTTGAACTCAAGATCTTGTGCTTGCTAGGCAATAGCTCTACCACTTGAGCCATGCCTCCAAATGTTTTGCTTTAGATGTTTTTCATATAGAGTCTCACACTAACTTTTGCCCAAGCTAATCTCTAATTACAATCACCGTACCTCTGCCTCTCAAATAGCTAGATTCACAGGCGTGTAACTACAGCCCAGAAAGTTTTGGAGATGAGGTTCTCACTATTGGCCACGCTGACTTCAAACTGTAGTTTTCACAGATATTTTTCACAGGTAGCTTTCACAGGTATTCTTACACATGGGGAAAAAAACAATAAATAATTTCTATGGAGAAAATAAGTGATTCTTAGTCTACTCTTGAACCACAAAGGCCTGACACAATATTGCTGGTAGTTGTATACTTAATGAG